TTCTGTCCGTCCACTGGCTTTCCTTTCAATGCTCCACTGCCTTTGTTCATTTTCACGAATATTCTCTCTTTCTTCGTGGGCGTTTACATTAGCTCTTATTCTGGCTTTAATCCTGTCAAGCTCGGTTTCTCCAAAGCTTCCTTTAATTTCGCCTTCGCTTGCACTTTCTATGGGCTCTTCCTTCTCATTTCTAATGGATTCTTCTACTGGAGCCTTTCTAGCAACTTGTGTGACTTCCTCAATCCCGCTTCTTTGAATTGAGCTTACGCTCCTTTCTGTCCGTCCACTGGCTTTCCTTTCAATGCTCCTCTGCCTCATTTCATGTTCAAGATATTTTTCTCTTTCGTCAAGAGCTCTGAGTTTAGCTTTTATTTGAGCTCTTATTAACTGAAGCCCAGTTTCTCCAGAGCTTACTTCAAGCTCACTTTCGCTTGAGCTTTCTTTGTGCTCTTCCTTCTGCTTTCCAATGGCTTCTCTTATTGGGGCTTTTCTTGCTACTTGTGTGGCTGGTTCAATCCTACTTCTTTGAATTGGACGTTCAGCTAACTTTGTCTCTTTCGTTTCTGCTCTTCCAGCGGCTTTCCTGTCAATGCTCCTCTGCCTTTGTTCAATTCCACGAGAATATTCTGTGTCATCATTGGCTCGGAGTTGAGCGCTTATTCTAGCTCTTAGCCTTTCGAACTCACTTTCTCTTTCGCTAAAGCTATCATTCGACTGTAAACTCCGACTCTCTGTGTAATTTCTTACTCTGACTGGCTCGATCTCGCTATAGTATTCACTTGGGCTGTTTTCGCTTTCATCGCAGCAGTTTTTCATAATCATGAAAGCATTGGCTCTATCTCTCATGTCAGTTTGCAGATTTTGAAGATGAGTTTCACCAAAGTCTGCTTCACTTGGTAGTTCTTCACCATTCCATTCAAAATATTTTTTATCTCTGAAACTCTCATCCTTATAGGACCACGGGTATTCCGCCTCACTGACAACTGTTTTTGCACGTGTAAACTCGTCTTGGCTGTCGCTATCCGAGCTTATCTCCATTGTTCCATTCATTATAACTCTTAGTTCAGCTTTAAGGAGTTTTATCGTCCTCGAGGCATTCTCCCATCTTTCTGGGGTCATTGCTATCTTCTTCTTCTCTTTGTAAAGAGAAATCCTTGCAGCTAGAAAACTGGCATCTATTTTGGTTGCGAGTGGAACATCGTTTTCATGATCTCTTTCCTCTAGATCCAGACTCCTTCTTTCGGTTTGAATCTGCAACTCTTCTCTGCTCAATTTCCCAATCTGATATCTCTCTCTATCTATTCGTGACTGGCTTCGACGGTGTACATGTCTCTCAGCTTCACTTCCTATCCTTCGATCATGGTTTGAATGTTGATACGGTACATCGGAATTCACGGAGTACTTTTGTAGCCTCTTTGAGCTGCTAGGGACATGCTGTGATGCATCATTTGAATCCTGCAAACTCGGTGGAATAGGCAGCGGTCTTGGTGGTCGTGTCCCTGATACATCCGTGAACGGGTTCGGACCAATATCAAGAGAGTGGAACCCTTGTTGTGGATGATGGTACAGGAGTTGGATCGACTCCACATCCTCCTCCTGATTCCTCCGGGCACAACAGGGAAAAATCTTACGCATTATTTCCCTAAAAACAAGAAGTGTTGTTATGTAATGGTTGGGATATTGGCTCTGAAATGGATGCGATATGGGCCCTATCTCATTGAAACTTACCTGCTGTTGGTTTAAGTGTTTGAGTTTAATTTTGATTTGAATATGAGGCATTATCTGGGCCATTTTAAATGTTTTTTTTTTTTTATTCAATCGTTTATTGTTAATTCCAGAATTAATCGTAGATAACTAACAACATAGCTAATGAAACATAATTGCGTTTTGAAATTATTGTAATTTGACTTAGGGAACATAATAACGTATGGAAATATTATTTGTTTGTACATGTGGAAAATTTTAGTCAAAATTTGAAATTTCGTGTGATGTATTTCGGGATTTGTGTTGATTACAAATGTAAAGCCTTTTACATGCATATTATCTCAAAATAAAATGATTTTCAAAGAAAAATTTAATAAATTTTCATATTTGAAAAAAAATTGTCAAAATTAAAAGAAAACGTTTTGTATTATTTACCTGCGTGCCAATCAACTATTTTCCAAGTTGAAAATATCAAAATATCTTCTATAATGCAGAGAAATCTTGAAAAATCCTTGAAAATTGCAGAGCTCTGTAGCGTAACGTCTTTACGGCTCTGCGTTGTCCTCTAGAATAAGTGGAAACCAGGACGACGTCATAAAGGTTTTTACGCCGTCCTGATTGTCAATAAGTGAAGCCCTATCCGTTATACGAAAATTCCTTCCGAAATCCGTGTTTTTTCGGAAAAAAATTCGAAAAGTTCACACATCTAACATGTACTATGTATAAGCATAAATCGTAAAACCCTCAATGATATGAAAATTTTCAAGAAAAGCTAAAGGGAAGGGGTTTTATTTTGCAAATTAAATTTTGGCCTCTTCATGCACCATTTTCAACTACAACAACTATTCTTTAAAAACTTCATATTTTGATATTTTTTCAAAGTAAATCTAATTTTCGTTAGTTCCACATTGGGAACTGAAACATATGGAACAAAATTGCAGTTTTTTTTAGTTGAATCCATATCAAAAACTAATCGAAATTCGAAATTTCTCTTTCGTAAATGAATCCATTTTATCTCTTGAATGTGCATGGAAACGTGTTAAAAAAACTTCATATTTTGATATTTTTTCACAGTAAATCTAATTTTCATTAGTTCCACATTGGGAACTGATACATATAGAACAAAATTGCAGCTTTTTTGAGTTAAAACTATATCAAAAACTAATCGAAATTCGAAATTTCTCTTTCGTAAATGAATCCATTTCACCTCTTGAATGTGCATGGAAACGAGTAAGATTTTGTCTCAATTTTGAACAAGATAGTGTTAATGAACACTTTAGACAAGGCCAGGGAAATCTCAAGTCATTCTTAAAACCCAAATTCCACTTTCTGTACCTCAAAAAACTATTTTAATCAGAAAAAAAGAAAGCATATTATTTAAGATAACAACTTAGATTTTTAAGAATCCTTTGCATCAGCTGATCCTTTGCTAACCCTCTTGGTAATAATCTCTCCTGGAGATACCTTACCCTTTCATCTTGAAGACTTGAATTGTGTGGAACGAGGACTTGTGTAAGGGCTTGACGATCAGGTTTAAAACCCAAAAACCATAATTTTCTCGACACGTTTTGCATTCCTTCCTTCTGTTCAAATTGAATTACATTTTTCTTTGCAGTTTCGGTTTACTGGTAGCTCTATCAATCCAGCCCGATCCCTAGGTCCAGCTTTTGTCATGAACCACTGGAAAGATCATTGGGTAAGTTCTAAGATGGAAGAAATTGGTGGGACGAACCTTCAGCATAGCTGTCCAATGGTAGTTGGAAAGCGTTTGTTTGGAGTTGGAATTCTTACTAGTTTAAGAACTTATCCTTTGAAGTAAATCCTTTAACCATTTTTTGGAATACCACATTGTGTTGTTCTAAGATGATGGTTTCGTAAGTGGGGAATCACAAAAACAGTTGATCTATAGGGGGAACATGAACGGTTGCACCCATTTCAAATCAATCTGCACCAGATATAGGATAATATTTCAAGGGAGTTCAACACCGGTTATTCGGTAAGTCCAACCAATTAATTCTGTTTTTTATATTGAAGGTGTATTGGGCAGGACCACTGACTGGTGGGATAGTATCTGGATTACTGTATGAATATATATTTGATCCAAGAAGAAGTCGAAGGAAGCCTGCCATACCGCCAGAAACATCGTCATATCCAGACTTTGAGGATAGTACGTAGGCCTATTCGATTAAAATATAGTTCATTTCGTTTATTTTTCTTTGAATAATTCACTCATTCTAAATCTATTATATAAGAGCCCATCTTGCAGTTCCCAAGAGAGATTAGGATAAAATATCCTTTGGAAATAGGGGTAGGATTTTGACTAATAGGGACCACTTGTAAGGGTTCTTCTTAAATTTGATTGGAGGGATCAAAATCAGTTTTGAAATTGTATTTTTTTTCTTTTCTTTTTCAGATGATGATATCACCAGCATTCCACAGCAAATGCCTACATCCCCAAATCACGCAACGCATTATAATAACACGAATTACGGCAACGGAGTCGCAGAAACTCGCTGCAGTACTCATTGTGCTGAAAACCATTACACCGCCCACTTACGTAGCCCTGAAAGACATTCTAGTCATTCCGATATGACTTACGAACCAGTCGGAAGACGGAGCTTCGGCGGCTACAATCCGGTCAACACGGACACACCCGGACTCGAAAACGAAGCGTACCAAGCCTTTGATACAAACCCCCGTCGTATTCCACCCCCACCGCCAAGAAATAAACATTATAAGCAACGTAATGAGGAAATTTCATTGGATGATGTTAGCGTGTATCAAGGGCGTCATGGATGACATGTCACGTGACAAAATATTGACCTAGTTGATCTCGAATGCATGTGCATATGAACGTGCATTATAAGAAGTATTAGACTGAAACCCGAACATTATTTCATGTGGGTTTAACGATGATTTGTGGGAAAATAGAATGAATTCAGAAAACTGGATGTGGGAACTGGCTCATTTTGGAAAGGCCCGCTACTCTGGAGACCAGTCCAGACTTACTCATTTAAAAAAGGACAGGTTCGTAGTGAAGCCATGACTTGAAATTGAATTTTAAAACGAAAGGATTGAAGTTTATTTTAAGGAAAGATTGAAGAATCTAGATTGAATTGCTTCTCAATACAGTTAACCACATAAATGAGAGGTTTCGTGGTAAAATCCACGTTTACAGATTAGAATCCGTCAGATATTGAACGAAAAATCAAAAAGAATTGGCAGATTCAAGCTAATTGGCGGAAAAGTTTTCGACAATTGAGTGTGAAATTCGTGTTTCTGTTTGATTAAATTTCAAATGTAATGTAAAATTGTCTGATTGAAATGAGAGTTTTTTGGTGTTTTTTTTTTTATATAAAAATATCTTAAAGATACAATGTCTGTATATAATTTGTGCTGAATAAATGATACTATTTGCGGAAACAGCCGAAGATAACCGTTTGTTATGGAGGTCCTCCAGTTTGCATTCATCTGTCAGTAAATAGGCTAATTTCCTAATAATACTGTGATAGATATGATCACTTGTACCACTCTACCATAATAAAGAATGACAGTGATCCAATTTTCTTCCCTTTGGCTCGTTAATGGAGAGGCGAGATTCGCTTCCATACTAACAAAATCGGTCAATGGTTTTCCTTGCATTGGGTGGAAATATCTTCATTGGTATTGACACACTTCGTTGTGTAGCTTTCAAGGAGGCATTGTGAAGGCCCAAGTGCTGAGACCTTCGAAAACCATTGTCACTTCCAATAAATCGAAAGTAGAAAGAATATGAGCGGTAAATTGTTAAAAAATCAGCTTGGGTCCCTATGTGTCCAGTTTTCATGGTCTCTTTTGGGTGTCAGCCTCCAATTCCCTTCCCTTTCACCATCATGGTGCAGTGTACGCCTACAAACACCTCATTTCTCATTCTAGCACTTAATTACTCAAGTGTATGTGTAAGTCAAGCCCCACGACCCCCTCCCCTTCCACCATCATGATGTAGAGCAATGACAACCGTAATCCAAGCACTGACTAACCCTAGGTCCTATGTGAACTTCCACGACCTCCGAGATGAATCATGTCCGCCCAAGATCTATAACATCACGTCAGTTCCAATTAAACCAAACAACACCATTTCCCTATATTGGATTGGACACGAGAAAGTAAATGTATCCTAATTTGGGTATAAATGACTCCGGGGCATATACAAGTATACGATTTCATTAAAAGTGGTCGCTATCAATTAGTGGTCTTGGTAATCAAGCAATTAGAGAGACTGGGAAATGGAGACTAATGGTCAGAACTGTGATTGCTTTGGATAACTTCGGTTGACGAGAAATCAGATCAGATAGGCCGTTAAGAGGCACGGTCGGGATTAGATTAGGGACAAGGGGCTTTTATTAGAGTGTTTGGCCAGAACTGTGATTGCTTTAGATAATCTCGACTGGCGAGAGATCAGATAGAAAGAAAGAAACAAAGAACTATATTTTACAAGGATAACAACTAAGGTACAAAATTAAGGATCCCTTCTACCAGCTGGTCTTTGACCAAACCTCATGGCATCGATTTTTCCTGCATAATCCATACCCATTTACAGTAAAATGTGAAGAACCATCGCCTTATAACCGATCTTGCTATTCGATACCATTGAACCAAAAGTTTTAAAGTATTCGGTGTTGGTCAAAGGGAAGCAAGTAGATATATATTTCTTTGTTGCTAAAGACAACAACAAAGTTTCGCGGGAAAACGACCTGGTAATCCCGCCTTTTCATCGTCAAACCGGTTATTCCCCTTTTTAAATTATTGAGACGTCTGCTTCGAACTCGAAGTGATTGATTTTGCTGGACGTCTGTCCTTTCCGACACATGAAGCGTGTTATTCCAGGTGTGCGTAGTACCTGAGGCGATACCAGTTGCTATGGAATCGGCCCTTTGGATTTTTTTGGTGCTTGTCGCAATTTTGGTTGCGAAGTGTCAAGACAAAGAAGACGATATAGATTATCGATACACTGCAGAAGCCAACCAAGAAAAGGTGGTTGAAGACGGGGAAGATTCTCAGGAATTCTCCGATGCCAAATATCCAAGGTTCCTTCTGTACAGCGTGAACTATGGCGAGGGATTCAACTTACGAAGGGATGTGTACATGAGGATGGCCACTTTGGTGAAGTCCTTGAATGAAGATGAACCTTGGTTGCTAGTGTTGCCACCATGGGGTCGAATTTATCATTGGCAATCCAAAGACATTAAACACCAGAACAAAATTCCATGGTCCTTGTTCTTTGATGTGGCCAGCCTAAAGCGTTTCGTGCCAGTTGTAGAGTTCCATGAGTTTTTGGCAATGTCCAAAGAGCCAGTCATTGAAGAGGTCTACTATCTACAAAATTACAAGGACTGGAAAGAATGGGAAGAGAAAATGGAATTCAAACCTTGCAATAATGAAAACCATTATTATTGGAAAAATGTCGAGACTGGTTTTTGGGAATCATGGTTTTTCGGATACGAGGATAGAGTCTACGCTAAAAAGTTTCAATGTGTTTCGTATATGGGACATGCTGGTTTCATGAAGCCATTTCTTCTCAAAAATACCACTGCTAGGTCGGTTATGATCGAACGAGCAGAGACCGCATTACACGATCGTTTTGGTGACACTAGCTATTGGGAAGCACGAAGAAGTATGGTTTTTGCTAAAGAACTACGCGACATCGGTGACGAGTTCCGTGCCAAATATTTGGATTCGAATGACGACACTGACAATACTGTTTTGGACGAAGATTGGACAAAAATGAAAAGAAAACATGGAGAGGCCAAAGGTGGTCCATATTTAGCCGTGCATTTACGAAGAAAAGACTTTTTACGTACGAATCATAATGTTCCATCTTTGAAACATGCTGCCAAGCAGATAAAACATTTAATGGACAAACACGATTTATCAAAATTATTCGTGGCCACGGATGCCCCAAAGGAGGAATTTGAATCTTTTAGTGAGTTTTTAGAAGAGTTCGAAGTCTTTGCTTTCCGTCCTAATGCTGAAGTAAAGAAGCAATACAAAGAAGGTGGTTTAGCCATTATCGATCAATGGATTTGTGCTCATGCAAGATTTTTTATTGGAACTCAGGAATCTACTTTTTCGTTTAGGATCCAAGAGGAGAGAGAAATCCTTGGATTTGATACCAAAATGACTTTCAACAGACTTTGTGATGATGAAGAAGAAATGGATTGTGAACAACCTTCTAAATGGACCATTGAATATTAGGGACTCGACCTATATTTGATTGTAAGGATTTGAAAACCATATTTTATTAATGTAAATCCACTGCTTTTGATGGCTTCACTTATTAACAAATATAAAAGCTTTTAATCGCAATGAAAGATACACCAAGTAAGCAATTTTAAGTACGTGGACTCTCTTAAAGGAATGCAAAAAGGGCCATAGATTAAGAAGCCTATAAGCAGACACCAGTAATGGATGTATATGCTTGAAAGTTGTGGACAATATTTATTTACCAAAAGAATTAATATCGATATGGATAACAGGATAAGTGATATTTGTCTTATGGATTATCAGATTGTCATGATATATCATTGAGGCAAATGATACTATGCAAATGTACTTATTTCAAAATGTGTATTTTGTGTAAATATGATATCACTAGTATATAGGTGAAACTAATATGTAAACTTCAAAATGTGCCAATAGTATTAAGCATGAGATTTAACTCTTTATCAAAATTTGGCAAGCATTATGACCTCTCTGAAAGGATTACCAAGTTGATAAATCCAATGGCAGAGTGGCATCTGGATACCTAAATAATTCACCCAGTTGAATGTATTGTGATTTATACTGTGACTGCTGTGTTCAATCAATTCTTTGTTTGGCTGACTGTTCAGTTAGTGATGAACTTGATGTGTTTAATAATTCATTAAGATCTATGTTATGAAAATCAATAAGAAAAAGATAAGAATCCTTAACAATTCCTCAGTTCCATGCATGAGGGGCAAAATTTCTCATTTTTAACTCCTTAATTGGTATTAATAGATGAAAGCTGACACCAGGCTGACTCTGGAAGGCACAGGCACCAAAATTTCTCATTTTTAACTCTTTATTTGGGCGAAATCTCATGTTTTCCTACAGCAAATTCATTGTGTATCCTTTCCATTAAACAGAAAGCATGGTGCATAGCCTTGAACCTCGGATGCTTAACATTATGATTGGGGACCAGAGGACTTTAGTGTATTGGGGCCCCCTGGAAATTCTTTTTTTTCACATATTATGCTCCGCTCGAAGATGAGGTGCCTATGGACTTGGTTCAACCAGTCCTTGTGGTAGTGGAGCCACTGCGAAGATGAAATCAAACTACAGTTTATAAGGTTATTATGATTTATTTCAAAGAATCAAAAGTAATATAACAACTACTAGTGCACAATATGATGTTAGGTTTTATAACGACTTTTACATTGAATGATATTTATACCTTATATTTCACTTTTTATATATACCTGTATTAAACAATTTTCACAGCTATTTTTGACTTCTCTTTTCATCTGCAGAACAAAGCATAAGGAAGTCCTTTCTTTAATGTTTGGATTAGACTGGCAAACTTTTAGCTAATGTAATAATATTTATAGCTTATTTTCACAGCTATTTTTGACTTCTCTTTTCCTCGGCATAATTAAGTATAGAGATGTTCTTTCTTTAATGTTTGGATTGGGCCAACATGCATTTTATCCAAAATAATTATATTTATTGCCAAAGTTTTCGAATTTGTCTTTTATTTCAAACAATATTTAGCAGTTTATTTAAAACAAAGATTCTCAAATTGGCCAAAAGTTGACAACCATTTTTAGTGGCCTAATATTTCTACCAAAAACTTCAATTAGCTCAATATTTCACTAATTTTTTATAAGACTCAATATTCCTAAGAATTTTCATTAACGGCCCAATATCTAGAATTACTTAGAATATGTGCCCAATACTTCAACATTTTTAAATGAACAGCTCTTTTTCAAATGAATAAATATGAGAATAAACTATGAAGAAAGAATATGTATTAATCTATATACACTATTTACATTTTAATATCAAGTTTTGAGGCCAGCTTGATTAAAAAAAAAGAAGAAAACATCCAAAAATAATAGAAATGAAGCTATATTTCAAAAAAAAAGATAACATTCTTCACTATTTCAGAGAAAAAACTCATAAAAGTTCTGTAATTTCTTAAAGTTTATCATAAATCCTAAATTGTTAATTTTCAGACTTTTTTTTTGAAGATTTGTGCAATTTAAATGCAAAGCTACACACGTAGAAATAGAATTGTAAATTTCAAAAGTCACTTAGCTGGAGAAAGTATTGAAATTTAAGAAACACAACAAAAAAATATCACATGAATGAGGCAAATTATAGAATAGTTAATATTAAACAGAATATTAGTTGCAAATCTTATTCCATTCTTGCCATAGTTACTCAGGATCTATAGAAGCACTGGCCCAGGTCACAAAAAGAAATGAGTTATCATATTTGTATTTACAATATTTACAATTATATACAAATATTTACATTATGTACACAAGAGTCAATATGTAAATGCTTGAAAACTGGCAAAGTACTTTATAAATTTCAAACTTCTTGTACAATTAGTGATGAGTTGAACAATAGAGATCACAAGTTCATTTGCATTGTAAATGGCTTGAGAATTCCTCTGCAATTCTATGATGTTATTCTTTTAGATGTGTAAGTAAACAAGTGGAAATGAAGGAAGTCCCAAATTTTATTTATGGGATTCTATGAGCTTATAAAAAAATTGTTGAATGTATTTCCTACTAGATTTTGTAATCTGAAAGCAAGCCTGTTAAATTCAGTTCCCTACAGAAAATGCAATGAGATGGACATTGGCAACAACTTTTTTTAGATCATAAATTACTGCAAAACAAGAACAAAATATCAATATATATGAAAAAAAAATATATAAGTTATGCTAAAAATCCTAAATTTGGCATAGGTTGAATTTTTACAAAGTTATCTCCCCTTAGACCAGTCAGAGAGTGTATGTTGCAGTAATAAACAACATAAACAAAACCAGAATTTACAAGTTACTGTTCTCTTAGTCCAATAAAGACATTTGTGCACATAAGGTCAGTCTCTGCTTAACTTAACTGTTTGCACAATAATTCTGAAGTATCTTATTTTGCATATCATATGCAAAAATCTTTTGTAATGTAAAGAATTTTGACCAGTATATAAGATAAAAAAGTTTGTACACAATATTATTATTATCAAATTTTTATGCCTTAGATATTAACAAAATATTTTTAATGCCATAATTTGAGACAATGCCAAATCTAAACTTAATAGCTTAGATGTTTGATTACAAAATAAATTCTGAATCTAAATTTTTTTATCAACAAAACAGAACAAAAAGGCTTTGACTCTGGAAAGATAAACATATATAAGCTTATTCATTCCGTGCAAATTCACAAAATTTCATCAGTTTTCAAAAAAAAAAAAAGCGATAACTTTACTTATCATAGGAGAGCTAAAAAAGATGTCCAACCTGCTTATGATTTATATATTTATTTAAAAAGGAAAAATACTTATAATATTCAAATAAAATTTGTAAGTTTACATTTTAAAACTATTATCAGTGCCCTTGTCAAATTCTGTCAACTGGAAATTTTGTGATCTAATTATTTGTCCCTGAGTTCTATTTATTGTAAGTTATCTGTTTTCCAAATCTTCCCTGCATAATTTTTAACATTTTCAAAAAATTCAATATAATGATAAATGAAATTAATCCTCTCAGAGAATTTTAACATTTAAAACCCTATAAAAAGTTACCCTATTCAATGCCTTGATTCTTTGTAATTTTCAATGCTTTATTACAATATTTATCAAATGAGAGTTTAACTGCTTCAGTGAAACATGGCAAAATATTTCATATTTTTTATTATGAGACGTCATCCAAAGCCTACCCTTTCTTTGCCTTTGCTTGCTTTCAAAATTATATATTATGCATTAATTTAATTATTGCATCGAATGGACTTCATTATTAGTAGGCTTATGCTCTAAATATTATTTTCTCGTACGCCCTACTTTCAACTTTATATCTATACCCTTTTAATGATATTGGTATTTTTTGGGTAAAGATAATATCATTACTTTGAGTTTATATATATGTACCCTTTTTCCTAAATATCTGTAACAAAAATAAGCCAAAATGGATGGTATTGCTTTAGCCATGAGGTTTTGAGTTTTTCATCAGCAAGGATTGGACTCAGTTACCTCCTTTGGGTAAAATTGGTATTGAATTGACCCTTTTTTTTTGAGTCTTAAACTGAGAAAATCACGTACAATATCTCTCATCAGCAGTTGTTTCAGTCATTTGTCCTGATGAGGATCGTATATCTGAAACATATGTTGTTGAACCCTTGTCTGTCCATGATATTATATCTTAACATTTATGAATTCTTAGGAAGGTCTTCACCCATCCTTGTTTTTTATTGCTACATCAGTTGACAGCCCAAGCTCACAGTGGTATCAGGAGATACAGCAGGGCGAACCCTGGTCATCATGTTCACAGCCTTAGATTTGTATGAATATCACAAAATTGGTTTTGAGTTGGAATAACGTTGTTCTGAGACTTCAGTCTTGAAAGCGACTGCAAGCTTTCTTCCATTTACACTGAGTGCACCACTGATCACGGTTTTCCATCCCATAAATCTTTCGGCACTTTCTGACCTCACTCCTAGGCTTTCGATGAACTGAAGTTGATTTTGGAGAGGATGAGAACAAGTGTGATTTGGGAGACTGAGCTTGATGCTGCTGGAGTCGAGCTTGAGGCGAAAGACGGTTGTTTCTAATCGGTGATGATATCTAGAAAAAAGGATTGGAATTAGTTCATCTTCCAGAGAGTATCGTCAAAGGAAGAATTGGTTTTGGAATTGGTTAGCCCTTTGCCTTCAGAGAGTGTTGTTTTCAAAAGATAAATTTTAAATTCCTAGTTTGTCTGTTGAAGTGTGTTTTCCAAAATAAAAACAAAATATCTGTATCACAACGAAACTTGTCCAGAGTTGTGGTTCAAACAGATGTTTTTAAGCAAATCTACAACTCTCATTCTCTCAGAATTGACATACCAGAGTCACACTGTACCCCTTAAAAGCAAGTCAGATAGAGTCAAGATGTCTTGAATCCATTCTTGGTAGGCCAGATATTTTGAAGAGTAAACTTACCGAGAGACTGCTGGGGGAGTTATTTTGACTGGTGCCCCATGATAAAGATCGTTTAGTATTGCCGTCAATCATCTTGATTGGTATCGGAGTGGATGTGGATGCTCCAAAATTGACCTGAAATCCTGAAGATGGAACTGAAGATGGACCTGTACTGGCATTTTGGCGGTTTTCCTGCAAAAGATCAAGAACATCGTGCTGAACATGACTTTGAAGAGATGTTCAAACTATCGAGAGCACAACTTAGTTCTTCTGATCTTCTAAATGAAGTACATGTTTTCAGATAACCCTATCCTATTCAAGGTATGAAAATTCTGATGCCTGTGCTTCAGATAGTCAGCTCAGAGTGGGCTTTCACCCCCTAACACCTGAAGTCTCAGCTCTATCTAAGAAAGGAATATTGGAGCATTGTTTTAAAGAAGTGTGTTAAACCATCTATATTCCCTTGTGTTTTTTGTTACATGTGCTTCTAATCTTACCTTTCTTTGGTAATCGTGATCAAACACTCCCAATGGTTTTGGGTTGGTTTTACTTGGTGGGGATGCTGCCATCATGTGGGAGAATTTCTCTGTGACATTATCCAGGTTGATTTCGATCTCTGTGAAATAAAAATCTTCCTCATCATCACTCAAATCATCATCACTGTCTCTTCTGGAAAAGAAATTGTATTATGACACTACTAGTCCAGAATTTTCAGGGTTATCTGAATGAATTTACAGTTTTGGAGTTCTGTCTACCAGATAGTCCTTTGCTGAAATAGGATTAGGACATTAGACACACTTTACTAAGGATCAGAGTCTATCCCTATACAGGCTGTTAGCTACAGGAGGCATGGGCTGTCTCTATAGTAGACTTATCTCTATCTGCATTAGAACTATTCTCTGTGGAGGAAGGTCCAAATCCTTTTTCTTTGGTGGAAGGCTGAAACGCCTTTTCTTTGGTGGAAGGCCCAACCCTTTTTCTTTGGCAGATGCATCAGATCCACCTCTTGAAGGACTTGCTTTGATTCCTTACTTACCCCAAATGAGCAGATCGTATGTGTCTTTCAATATCATTCACAGTGTTGGTGATGGTTTTACATTTTGGCCAGGTACATTGAAATAATATTTCTGTATTAATCTGTAAAGATACAAAAAATATTGCATGAAGCCATTGGCATAGAACTACAAGCTGGGGCGTATCTAGAAAATGACTGAGGGGTGGGTGGCATTGGACAGGGGAGCTGTAGCCCAATCAAAAATCTGGAAATTTTCAGAACCTTGTTGGCTTTAGCTTCTTCAAGTAATAGATGTTGAGTTTCTGATAGTAATACCAAGTGTTAAGTGGTATGAGGTGAGCAATACACCCCTAGATCCCTTCTATCCCTATGGACAGCTTCCTTACCCCACCATGCACAGTCGTGAAACTCCCGCGTCTGAGTATGCTCCCTTTAAACAAAAAATCATTTAACAATTAAATGAACCAGCTGTCGTTATCAATAAATTAGATAAGTTTTTTTTTCGTTTTTGTCATTAGCTAGTGTCAATATCTCATAGTTGCAATATCAATGTACAGATATAGCCAATAGTATATCGCTGACTCTGCAAATTGTTAAATATGTTACCCATGTCTTTCATCGCTGGGAATATGAACACCTGTGACCTCGTGTAGATACTTATATCATTAATACGGCGAAATAATATAATATGTTCTATTAGTTTACTGTGGGTTTAACGCTGCAATGTGATCAGTACTTAAACTGTGGGCGTTGAGGCAGGAGATGACCGAGATGCTGCTTTGGACTAATCCTTTCAACCACATCCCCCACCCTTCTAGCTCACTTCGCTTATACGTCTAAAGCTGATTTTGAAAAGTTATCCCCATAAAGCTAATAAAAAAGACTTTAGCTTCGGAAAAGTTAAAAGCCGGAGATAATCGAGGTGCTGCTTTGGACGAATCCTTTCACCTCTCTGTCCTGGTGCTGATTGTCCAACCGAATACACGCCAGCATCATTAACTGAGCTCTAGTCAAATAGAAGTCAATCTCATAGAGTTGTCTATTGGCATTCCAAATTTACGTTTATGCATTTCATTACTTCAAACTGTGTTTATGTTTCGTTTGTGTTATACCTTTAGGCTATATGGCACCCTACGTTCTATTTTAAAGCTCAGAAGTTGAATGGGGTCGATCGTAGCTTAAATTTGAGTTTTAAAGGATATTTATAGACGTTTTATTACGGCCTTCCTCGAGGCAGTTGACAGAAATATGAGAGGATAGATCAAGAAGTGGATTTATGGGTGTATGTCTATTTCCTCAATGTGGAGATGCCGCTATTGGACAAGGATGGTTAGCTTCACACCCTTTGCCGAGCCACATGGCGCCTGCATATTGCCTACCATTACAAGAGAAGCCTCGTGGGGATTCCTTTTACAGCTGGTCCTTAGCAAAATCTCTTGGCAATGATCTTTTTCTATCAGATGATCCAGTCCAAAGTCCATACCTTTGCCAAAGACCTTTCTTTGATCACCCGTGGACAAAGCCTGGTCAAGAGCTCTGATTTGCCACAAAGCTCATGGAACTATATTTGGAGCGCTGGTCTTCCAGGTTGCCATTGGTGGAAGAACAGAACCACCATAAGATTCTGTAGGTGGAAGTGACAATACGACCTTCTCGATTATTTGAATATACTGGATATATTGTTTTGTACCCAATGTGACCATGGATGATGATAGCTATCTCTCAATATCTCATCTTATCTAGGTCAAAATCAGATAGTAGGTGGGTCACGCTAACTTTCGTTATTTGATACACTTTTCACTTTTTAGAAATATTTGGAAATACGTCTAACCTCTGTCGTTCTTTGATGTAACCTTGTACGGCTGTACGGTTACAGCCTACCGTTCAGCACCATACCTTTGTGCATCCATGGGCTGTTCATGAACAATAGGTTTTTCAAATTTGCTATTGGCCTCCGTGGCAGTGTCTATTTTTCGGGTACGACGAAAACAACCTTTTGAATGCAGATATACATTTGACAGATTTGCTAAAAAGGTGACGACCGAAACAGCTGTAAACCTTGAACGTTTCAAAAGTGAGCGTTCGAAAGTAAGAAAATTTGACGTTTTCAAATGCACGTTGTAACAACTGGGACTATAAAAACTGTATATCATTATTTCAGCCCATTAACATCACCAATAAACACCTATAGTTTATTATTATCATCATAAATATTGAAATGTCATCAAAACCTGTACATCTGAACTTTAAATACAGCGACTGCGATAACAGACAAGGGGGAAAGATTATGTTATTGTATTCGTTTAATTTGCAATAATTTCACGTATCAGGCCACATCAGCTTATAATTCATCGGTGACAAAAGGGTTAAATCGACATAAAAACTAAAATTGAAATGACTTAGTCATAAAAGAATCATTTTATTACAAAATAAAACCTTATTATCTACAGAGGAAACATTTCTCAAACCAAAAAACCACAATTAGGTACCTCAAAAATGCCCTATGCTCGCAATGAAAGGAAAGACGAATAATGGATACTTTCAGCCATTCACTCGAAAAGCGCTTTCGGAAATCTCGTCAGGGCATCATCACTCTACATTTAGTAAAGAGTGTCGATCGTTATGAGACGAAATAGTGTCAGATGGTCGAATTCCTTAAGTGTTTTGCTATTTTTTCAATAACTGTAGGCCTAATATAGGCTACATAGTTTCTTTGTTATTTTTTCAATAACTGTAGACCTAATATAGGCTACATAGTTTCTTTGTTATTTTTTCTTTGTCTATCTTATAAAATAAAATAGATGAACTATAGTCATGTGATCTGACCTATAAATTAAAAAATATCAGGAAACCGGTTTTGTTTGACAATGCGCAATTACTTAATCCAATTACTGTGACCTACTTTAGGTATTTTATTTAGGTTGAACAAAGCTCCAGAGAAAAAGGTTACGCACACCACAAGTACGATTCAATTTTAAAGTTAAAAGTACTCTGAAGTTAGACAAAGGAGGCAACCGAATCACTAAGTAATTTTGTCGATGAAAAGGCTTCAAAACGTTTAAAACACATGGTTCTTACAGACGGATTTTCAGCATTGGTCGTTTCTTTAGGCATAACGTAATGTTTCCGGCCTTTTGTGCTCGTTGCTATGGCCAATACTGCTATACTTCGCGCCATTTTAGGGAAACTCAGATGCTGGAATTCGTAAGTAACCTATGGAATGGATAATTTCTATCCTGTGGGTCTTTAGTTAATAACAAAAACGTCGGATATATCAACGGTATTTCTTTGCGGAGAAGGCGAAATCGATCACGTCTTCTAGTTCTATCGTATTGGATGTCCGTTCTTTTTCTCAACAGGCCCAACATCGAGCTTGACAGCACGAGTGACTGTGTTACTATTAATAGCGATAACCCACTTCGACGTGATCAGCTGGCTGAAGTAGGTCATGGAAATGAGGTCATCACACCGCTCTGTTTATATGGAGATAAAATGCACATATACTTAATATAATACTCGCCATACAGCCACATTTAAACAAAGACCTATATTACATTATATCGCATAAGGAACTGCTATTGTTCGAGAAATTAACCGACTCGTGTCAACTTTAGACAACTAGTGGCAAGCTTATCTTCTGGGTTTGGCACTGCAGTGCAAAATCAATTACTCTAGAGCCTAGAGCTAAATAGAAATATGTAAACGCTAATTGAGAACGACGGTTCAAATTATATCAAACTGGATATACGATAGATTATTACACCGAGTGAACTGCAGGTGCTTTTAGTATGTCCACTTCTGTACATGTACGTACAAAACTATTTTGAGTCGATCCTATGGTGTACTTTTGAAGCTCTTGAAGTGGTTTGAGGGAGAGGGGGTTCAGAATTAACGATCGGAAGCCTAACATTCCAAGAATGAGTACTACCAGCTTATCTCGGGAATCTTGAACAGCTCCACATCTAGAAGGTGAAGCACAAGTGGTACCCTTTGTTAAGGTGATCTTGTCCGTACCGAGAACCGTCAACTTATCTCCGAAATCCCATTTAAAACAATAAAGGGAAAGTATAGGTCGTGATAAGAAATCTATTAGAGATCGTTGGAACAATGAGAGAACCAGCATAGTTGTGCAGTTCCCGAACCATCTAGAAAGAGGGGCGCGGTTGGTACCCTTTGTTGAATGCGATCTTGCCCGTACCAAGAACCGTCAATTTATCTCTGAAATCCCATTGAAAACAATAAAGGGAAAGTAAAGGTCATGATAAGAAATCTAAAGGTCATGAATGATAATAATAGCAAGGGTTAATTTTTATCTCTGTGATAGAAGTAAACAAAATTGTCATAACGAGCAATTAAGGACATTGTCCGATGGGTCGTCTTCCAATTTGTAACTAAAAATAAATCTGATGTAACGTCTCGTTGCGTGTCACTTCAGAAAGCCTTTACTTGATCATAAGATCAAAAATTTCGTCTATGAGCTACATATGTACCTTTAGAATCCGAGTTGACAATACCAATTGCAGAGTGACAGCATAGAGATTGCCCCACTCATTTAAGAACCTCCTTTGGGCATTTCGAAATAAATTTCCGGGTCATGGTTCTTAAGATGTGAAACCTATGAGATCACCAATGTACACATTGGGTAGTTCAAGACATAAGTCTCTGCAATGGTCCCATATTTCGAAAAGGGAATCCCCCTATTCGTAACCAAGGTGCTTCCGAAATATATCCCCCCGCATAAGACACTAAATATTATTTTATTTCGTCTGAACAATGCCCATTCAAAATTATCCAAGGGTAACTTGAAAATACGGAAATAAGGGCAACGAACCCTAAGTTAAAAATATCGCTGATTGTCATATGTTCGAAGGGTTGAAGTCCAAGTTTGAATTACATCATACATATATATGTATATATCAAAAACCTTCAGTGTGTTTTACGCGAAATTTTCCGAGAAACGCCCAGGCAATTTTTCAATTAACGCCCAAGCAATTTTCCAAGGGTACCGCCCTGAATTTAATAGAGATATTATAAAAAATAGAAAAGAAAGCAATTGATTAATCTAAAGAAGAAAATGATTTGTATTGAAATTTCATTTGAAATTAGGACAGTTAAGTACAGAGCTTTTTTGAAACTTTTGAGTTGTAAAGAGTTTCGTCATAAAGATCCAATACAAAGGGTTCGAAAGGGGCGTAATGGATAATATGGACACATGTGCGCGCGCTTAGACAGAACTATACATGGAGCTGATATATATAGCATATTTACAGTGTACGGTGTATCGTGTGCTATGAAAAGAATATGCACACAACTGGCAGTTAGAATTCAATATAGCTGTTGAATTAATTTGATGAATTGATATAGAACTGACGCAACAGGCAAATATAAATTTATAACACATCACTAACGACCAACTCAATATCAAGCGGTATATATATCTCCGCTGAATGGAGTAGATCTAAAAATAGACTGAGAGCATGACGAGTAGTAACATTGAGTGCGATGATGGTGCAGAATTTATTTATATCGTGTACAGTACGGCCTTTAACGGTTTAATCCCTGATAAAATGAAGTTACTGGTATCCTTTGGAAAATGAAAACGGAAAGTCCTATGGACACACTAGATAGATCACTTGTTGAAATTAAATGCTGAACCACCCCGGAAGCAAAAGCTGGGGAATCGTTCTCGAAATTTAATCCCCAATGGTCTGAACGTATGACTAAAGTAGACCGATAGTCCTACTGTCCTCGTTAGATTACATGTTGAAATTAGTTGGGGCAACGGAAATTATCGATACTTAGATCCTCATTTTCAAATGAAAGGAATTAAGCCACGTACCTGTTTGGACTTTTGGTCTTTAGGTACATCGTCGTCATAGAAATGTTTGACATCTTCCTCGAGATCCAAACAATCATCGGTGGGTGAAGCCTCAAAGAAGACTCTGTCGGGAGCACTCTCACTGAAGTGGGTCTTGAACGGTGGGGAACGGTCGTTGCCTTCTGAAAGTCCACTGTAGAAGCCACTGCTTGCTACAGAACTTGAGAGATGCCCGCTTTCTCTGTATGAATGGGATCCTATTGGGAGCACTTCTGCAAAGACAAAGGGGGAATTTTAAGAGAGGTCCACATCAAAAAGGTTGAACGTTTGCTTCCTAAAAGTTACATTCAAGGAAAGTGAATTCGGCAAAAGCCAGAACAAAGTAGGCTAGGACAAGATATGCAGGTGCTGAAATGCTTACCTCTGTCATTAAATGAAGCAGGGAAAAGTGGTGAAGCCGGGCTGCAGGACAGATTGGTGAGGGCTGCCACCGCTATTGATTCGTCTTCCATCTCGACATCCAGGTCATCCAGATCGTCGATCTCCACTCTGTCACGGTGTCGCCTGGAAATATAAGATTGTTACAATCAGGTATGTCGTACGTGCATTCCTATTAATGGACCATTCGTGACGGATGCTGCACACCAGTTTTGTCGTACGTGCATTCCTTTTAATGGACCATTCGTGACCGATGCTGCACATCAGTTTTGTCGTACGTGCATTATCACTAGCAGGTCATCTATAAACAATGTCGTACGTGTATTCCTAAAAGATTGTCATATTATTATGTCACGTCGCCTCTATTAGATTAGCTTTGATGAATTAGGGTACTAACAGCGAAAGCGTGTGCATTTTACATAAGGTCATACAATATTAGCCACTTAGTTAGGATTCAGCCTTTACAAGTAGTTGTATACTAATGACAAATACAGAATTTTTTCTAGACTGTTTGAAGCATCCTTATGAATCGTATTTTAAAGTATTTTTCCACTATTTCTTTGTCGTATAATAAACGCGTTGTGTTTTTGTTTTCGATCACTTTTTGATAAACTATTGAACTCCATTGCATACAAATGTATTTTTTTGAAAACATTTCCGGATTCTTTTCATAAATATTTATTTGTTTATGATGTATACTTCCCGAGTGAAGAGGTCATCGGAGGTCAGTTCTATTCATGGCTGTCCTTGTGTCGTCCAAACAGACGTAATAGAAGTAGAATAGAAGTATATTTTTTGGATAACTGCTAAGGACGTCATAGTTCACCCACAGGGAAGGGTTAAAAGACCGAATGTAGTGACTCAGGAACCCAAAAAGTTACGATTTACAGAGAACAAAGAGGTTGGGATTCCTTTGGTCTGCAGTTCATACTGTTGATTATCATCAGATCCCAAGGAACTCATTTGAACCATATGGTTTTGTTTTAATCATAAAGAGCACAAAAAAAGAAATTCCTCTCATTTCATTTCTATCAAACCAAACCGGTATCATCTCGTCAAGGACGATCGTTATATATAATACATGCGTATAATTAGATTGACCTCTTGGCAAATCGGTCAACCATAACACTGTCCATTTAATAATTTAATAATACCGGCATATATTATATATAACCCTAGGTTTACCGGCGTATTAACCCTACAAGAGGATTTAAATACATTACCGTGATCGTTATTACAAAATACGGAATAATCGGTCACCAGCATGTGGCCACCTCTCCAGCATTAAGGGTTCAATAACACAACGAAAGGAAAGACAACCATAACTATAGGTTCACGAAGACCCCGTCAACAAGCTGATCCTTGGTCTTGGCATAGATTTTTCATGGATAACATCTTAGTGTCACGAAGATTCTTTCTGCCAGCTTGTCCTTGAACAAACCCCAGATTATCCATAACCATTTACAGCTGGTTCTGCCGGTGGAATTGTTCCATCTAGTTTGGGTCAGCGTTGGAAATATCAATATCAAGATCAAGATCTAGTTTGGACCAGATTTAGAAGTCGATTAAACTGTTTTCTTTGTCCTTTCATTGACCAATTTCTTTCCAATGACCTCTTACCACACTAGACAATACGTCATACTGTAGGCCTAATGGTAATCCAACACTTGATCCGACTTAACAGTTATCATCTTAAGCCAGTTAGTAAGCAGTTCATCCTTGGATATATTGACGAAACTGGGAATGTACGTTGACCACTTCATCCAGAAGACCAATTTCATGCTTCATGATATACATTACCTAGGAGACCTAAATAATGCACGACGCTTCAGAATCTTCGGCATCTGTTGCGTCAGCTCTTAAGTCTTCAATTCATGGCAACATAATGTTAAAACTTCTTCTGCACCAACTCGTCTGCAATTTGTATGCATAAAATACAGGTTTTATTCTGAACCCAAACAGACCTTCAACAGACCTTCCACAGTCAACCGCTGGTTACATGTGACCACTGGTCTTACATAAGCCACTTAAACTACCGGTAAATTAAGGCATGTTATGATTAATTAGAATCGGGGTGTGACGTAACATCCTTAGTGACGATTAGCCTAATCGATGATTAAAGCCTGCGTAAGGTCATGTAAGGTCTCGGGGATTTTCAACCGGTATTTGGCGGTCAAATCTTGGTTTTAAAAGATTCTAGGTGATCTTGGGTTACGAAAACTGTTAGTTTGGTATTTCGGTTCGTAGGTGAAGCTTATTTTTGACCTTCGTGTTTGGCCTAGCGTGGTCAACGACTAAGCTACACCGACTAGGGGGGACTGTGTACCTTTTCTTTGGATGAAATTGTACTTGGGTGTCCCATTTTGAAAACAGGCTCTTATCTCATGTCCGAAAATATTGATGTGTTGGTGGGTCTAATTTGACTTTTGCATCCTAGCATCCATACCATGCTTTCTAAGGCCATCATATTGATTTTACCGGTAGGCCTATAGATTAGAAAAACAAAATGCTGAGACCATCTGGTTGAAAAGTTTAGCGAGCTACGACT